CGCTGTGAGTTTGGACGGGGCGCGCGGAATCACATGCGAGTATAGGCGGGCCCTGAGGGAGGGCCCGCGGGGGCACCTTGGCGAGGCGACGACGACGACGAGGACGACGAGGGCAAGGGCGACCCACCCGCGACCCACCCATGACGAGGGCGACCCACCCGCGACCCACCCATGACAAAGGCGACCCACCCGCGACCCTCCCAGGACGAGGGTGACCTATTCCGTAATGCAGCCATCTAGGCCAAAGCCATTTTGGCGAAGGCCCTTTAGAGGGCGAGCTGGAGTTGCCACCGCCCTGCAGAGAGCGAGCGTCCGCCCGTCATGGCGGCGCACTTGCAGTTCGTGGAGAACGAATGGACTTGCCCGCAGACGGTGGCGCTCAGTGACGGGTCGTGGGTGGACGCACCCTACATGCAGTGGGATCGCGCCACGGGCACGCGGAAGTGCCTTATGTGCGCTACGAATGGGAGCAGAGTGACGGCAGATCACTTGGCGGCGGCCAGACACAATAACAGGACAGAGGGGGCTTGGAACCATCTGGCATCTTTCACGCGCGGCTGGCAGGTTGACATCGTGCAGGTTCACACGGACGACAAGTACATCCACCCACCTCCGCAGCAGCTGGCGCTGCCAGCGCCTCAGCTAGCGCAAGCGGCACCAGGACTTCAGCCGCCGCCCGCAGCAGCTGGCCAGCCAGTGCCTCCAGCTGGACCTCCGCCTCCAGCAGCTGGAGCTCCAGCTGGACCTCCGCCTCCAGTAGCTGGAGCTCCAGTGCTTCAGCCGCCGCCCGCACCAGCAGGGCAGCCAGCAGCAGCAGCTGGCCAGCAAGCGCCAGGACCGTCGCCCACGGAGACGCTGCTGCAGGCAATCGTCGACGGGATCGCTGGTTTGCAGGTGGGTACGAATGCCGCGCACGAGGCCATCGAGGAGTCGAACAACCTGTTGCATACGCTCGTAGAGCGAGTGCAGTTGGTGGCGGACCGCACCGCGGAGACCAACCAGTTGCTCGGGGTTATGGCCCAGGCAGCGCCGCGCGGGTCGCCTGCGCAGGCCGCGCGCGCGAACCGTGGTGATGCGGCGCCCTCCAAGGCGGCGCCCTACCAGCAGATGCACTGACGCGGCGCCTGCCCCCCCGTGATGCAGCGCGCGGCGCATCGGACATGTATCACGAGACATCGATACATCGGGCTTTGCATCGGACTGTGCGTCGCTACACCGGAGTTTATGCACGGAGTTGGTGGTCGGACTACGTTTGCATATGGCGATGCGCATCGCCAGCAGCCGATTTCAATGTTGTATAAGAGGGGGCGCAGCGGGCATTTTTCCCCGACAGCGGCCCATCTGCTCGTGCCGCACGTGACCTCGGGGTCGCCCCGCACTTGCGCGATGCTGTTTTCCCCTGACCCTTGGGGGGCACTGTGTGCATTCGGAGCTCTCCCGTGGGATTACCCTCCCAGGGAGAGCGATTAGTCCTCCTGACAGGGAGGGCGAGCCTCGCTGTGAAGATTGGAGCGCATGGCGCACTGCGCTATGCAATGCAGTAGGACCCAACCATATGCAATTGTGAACAACGCAGTTGTGAATATCTTCTTCGGTGGCGCTCAGGCTTATTCAAATGGCGAGCTTGCTCGCCAAACTGATTCAAATGGTTTACGCCGCCCAGACTTATTCACACGGCGAGCTTGCTCGCCAAGCTGATTCATAGTAGCTTCTGTTGACCCTCAGCGCCGTCTTTCGAGGATGTCTCAGGCGCGCGGGCATTCTCCTGAAACCATCTGCAACATGTGCGCGGATGGATGGCGATTCCTTTTCAAAACCATGGCGGGTTAGGACGATCGGGGTCTGGGAGTAGGAGTAGGAGTATATGAGTAGGAGTAGGAGCAGGAGTAGGAGTAGTACACGTGTCATGGCCCTATAGAGTGCCCCACCGAAAGCCCAGTGTCACCGCATTCTCCCTCCGCGTCCGCTTAGGCTCAAGAACGCCGTTTGAATGAGCCTGAGCGGCGTATACCATTTGGATCAGCATGGCGAGCAAGCTCGCAATTTGAATAAGATTGGCGAGCAAGCTCGCCGCATGCGTAGGAGTAGGAGTAGGAGTAGACGCATGGGACAATTAACATCAGACGACTGCCCAATCTGGCTTCCAGGACGGCCAAGATTGCCCAAGTTCGTCCACGGCCAAGACGGCCCAATACGGCTTCCAGGACGGCCAAGACGGCCAAGGAGTACGGCCACGACGGCGCCCAAGATGGCCCAAGAAAGCCTCAGGGTTTTTTTGGCATGAACTGCGAGGCGAAAGATTAGCACCACGGCACAGGCCCCACAGTGAGGTCATCCCTTTGTGGGTGCCGCCCCTTGCAGGCACGATTGAACAAAGTTCTCAAGCCTCGAACGTGGCTGTGAGCGGCATAGGAATAGCAACGGATTCAAACTGTAATCGCCGTGCCATTCGAAACGGGAATTGTGACAGGCACGTTACTCCCGCAAAACTGGGCCGTCAAGACGGGAAACAGCGTCACACACACCAGGCGGAGGGGGGCGGCCTGACCCCGTTTCAGTCCACCCACTTGGTCAGGTAGTTGATCGCCTTGAGTGCCGCAGCGACCTCCGCAGAATCACACTTCGAAAGGTGAGGCGTAGTCCCACGACCAAACTTCGGTAACGTCATCGTCTTCCCATACGAGGTATGAAATATACCAGATGACGTTGTACGCCCAGCCCAGCCAGTCTTAGGATCAACCCAGACACCACGGTAGGACGTTTTCCACACTTTGATATACGTACATTGTTATCCATCGTAGTGCCACTTGCCGCCTCCTCCAGTCGACCACTTGATACGTTTGTCGCCTCTTCCAGTCGACCACTTGATACGATCGTCATTGTCGCCTCCTCCAGTCGACCACTTGATACGATCGTCATAACGACGCTTGCCCATCGTGACACGGGCAGGTGCGTTCGATACCGAACGCGCGGGGAGCTGACAGCACAAATGGCTGCGGCTGATGATGATGATGGCGACGATGACATGACGATGGCGATAATGACAGTGACATTGACAGGTCAAGATGACGATGATGACATTGATGTTGCCAGCGTGCTGAAAACGCAACACGTAAACTAACCATCAGCCGAACAGTTGCTCCTACTCCCACCCCTATGCTCCTACTCCTACTAATGTTCCTACTCCTGCTCCGACTCCTCCTCCTTCTCATACTCCTTATACGCCTACTCCTAATTGCGGGACGCATGCGGCGAGCTTGCTCGCCAATCTTATTAAAATGGCGAGCTTGCTCGCCAAGCCCATTCAAATGGTTTACGCCGCTCAGGCTTATTCAAATGGCGAGCTTGCTCGCCAAGCTGAATCATATTTGTTTCTGTTGACCCTCAGCGCCGTCTTTGCGGCCCCCCAGCGCCGCCTTCGCGGGCCCCAAACCAACGGAAACACTGTCGGTGGAGCTCCCTGTGGGGCCACGAAGCGTGTGGGGGGTGTGCCGAATTGGGCGTGCGAGGCGCATGCGGGCGGCATGGCACCGGGGCCTTCGGTGGAGCCCCTCCCCCCTCCCCCCCCCCTATGGGTGTGCGGGGCGCTTGCGGGCGGTGGCACTTGGGCTTTCGGTGGGGCTCCCTATGGGGCCGCGAAGCGTGTGTGGGGTGATGGCGATGATGGTGATGATGACAACGGTGATGATGATGACCATAATGGCGATGACGATGATGACGACGATGATGATGGGAGGAGGAGGATGAGGAGGAGGATGAGGAGAGGAGGAGGAGAATGAGGAGTGAGGACGCGGGGCGATGTCTCTTCAAAACGAGGACCCGACGCCACAGGACGCAGCGCTGAAATACATAGCTCTACATATAGTTTTAACTTATTGAGCCCACGCCATGGCAACAGCGAAGACGACGACGACGCCGCCCCTTGGATATTGGGTGTAAGTCCCTATGGGGCAGCGAAGCGTTCGTGGAGTGCGCCGAAATATGTCACTCACCCCATCGATAAAAAAAAACTTTCAAATTTCAGAAATCATAAAAAAATCAACATTTTCAACCGAAAACAAAAATACAAAAAACACAAAAAAAACTATGCAAATTCAACACCCCCCCTCAAACACAAAAAACATACAAACATTGGTGTTTCTAATTTTGTTTTTTTATATTGAAAAACCATTTATATATATAATATGCTAACCAGGTTGGCTAACTAGGTTATCTAACCTACTTAACACTTGGTTTGTTCCTATTTAGCTAACCGTGAAAACCTTATTTAGCTAATCGCGATAAGCACTTACATAAGTTAGCGCTAACTAACTCAGTAAGTTCTCTATGTGATCATGAAGTGCTCTATCTGAGTCACTGGGCTTGTAGTTGGTTCACTGAACTTATAAGTTGGTTACAGCCAACTTACACGCTAGTTATAATATATAATAATAATAATAATAATAATAATAATAATAACAATAACAATAATAATCGCGCTAGCCGAATCGAAACCGCGGCGGCGATCTCAGTAAGCTTGGCAAAGTTGCCCTCGATTGGTTGGCATCCATTACTGCGCGTTTCCCGAATCAGCTTCTCTGTAAGGCTTCGTTATACGAAGGGAGTATATACATGGATCCGGAATAGGCGGGGCGTCGCGGCCTCATATTGGGCTCCGAAGTGTATATTGCCCCGTTGGCCTCGCAAGTGCCACCTGTCCTCTTGGCGCCCCATCTGTCTCTTGTCATATTGGCCTCCCAACTGTCTGTTGTGTTCTTGGCCTCCCAATTGTAGCTTGCCCCCTTGGCCTCCCGAGTGCATGTCGATAGTGCTAAGCAGGGTAGGGTGTTCTTTCGCCAGGGTGTAATCAGTAGCTTCGCCCAGCCCAGGATGAAATCAACGTGGGCTGGCTCGGTTTGAAGTGTGTAAACTCTGGTCTAGCTTTGCCTCGGCTAGCATAGATCACCATGTCGCCAGTTCGCACTGGGGTGCTCACATCGTATAGTTGTTTTGATGTGTATCAGAACTCGCACGCCGCTTTTTGCAAGAGGGTCTGTATATGTTTGGCTCAAGCGGTTGCAGATCAGCTCTGGCCGTGCAGGTCATATTTATTGGTCTGCTCTTTGGTTTGATTTGCCCACGGCGGTCAACAATGCAACCGAAGATTGGCGTCCGCTACAGAATTCGCGCGGTCACGGCCAACGTGAACCCGGGATGTCCCAAGACGGAGGGTTGGTACCTCTCGGCGTTCCACAATGATGAATGGGACACGCGCAACGAATGTTCCACCTGGGCTTAAATTCACAGTGATGCACCAGTGTACAAAAACTGGCAAGGGGATTGGGTTCTCGAGCCCGGGACGGGCAATGCCGTCAAAATCCGCGCGGTCACGGTCGACGTGAACCCGGGATGTCCCACGACGGAGGGTTGGTACCTCTCGGCGTTCCACAATGAGGAAGGGGACACGCGCAACGAATGTTCCACCTGGGCTTACGTTCACAGTGATGCACCAGAGTACACAGACTGGCACGGGGAGTGGGTTCTCGAGCCCGGGACGGGCAATGCCGTCAAAATCCGCGCGGTCACGGTCAACGTGAACCCGGGATGTCCCAAGACGGAGGGTTGGTACCTTTCGGCGTTCCACAATGAGGAGGTGGACGAGCGCAACGATGTTTCCACCTGGGCTTACGTTCACAGTGATGCACCAGTGTACAACAAGTGGCAAGGGGAGTGGATTTTCGAGCCCGTTTCGGGCGCGCAGCCCTGGACAACAAGGACAAGACAAGCGACAACGGACCAGGAGATTTTGGAAGAACTGCTAGAAGCGCAACAGCAAAAAAGCTTCAGACAGTTGACAGACGCGATCGAACGTGCTAAGTCTGCTGGAGTGGCAGAGAAGCATTTGCGACCGGCGAGCAGAGCATTGCGGGACATTTCGCCCAAGTGGACCAACCTCAAAACCGACACCCTGTTCTTCTCCAAGACCAGTCACAGCGCCGAAATTGCTCTCGATCAGCTCGCCAAAGCGGCATCGACGGCTGTGAAGAACTTTCTAACAAATGGGTTTGAAGAGTTGTTGGGGGTTGCCAAAGATCTGGAAGGTTCTGTAGCAACCTTTGGGTACGGATCCGAATGCACCAATGACAAGAAGGCGAATGTGCAGTTCCATGATGACACGGGGAAGTACCTTGTGTACTCAATGCGCAAGCAGGAACGCACCACCTCGTCAAGATTATGGTTCTGTTCGACTCAATCCGTGACAATTTCTTTGACGGTGCAACTCCGCGCCGCCCAAGCCAAGAATAAGGCCGCGCATGATGATTGCGAGCGCCTAATGAGCATGGAGGCCGGCGAGCTCGTCAATATGTTAGAACGCGAGAGTGTCATAGGCAAGAGCGCAAGAGCGACTAGAGCTTTCTGAGACAGGAATGTGAACGCGGGCGCGTGGTTGCCGCCCTTGGATGGCGGCTTTTACAAAGTAGCCAAGTGCGAATTCTTGACGCTTCGCGTATCCCCGCCAGTCCATCCAGAACCGATGCCCCAGGGAGTTGTGCTGATCAGGGAAGTGGAGAGCATGCAGAGGAACAAAGGGCTTGGGAACCCCCGTACCCCAAGAGGGGGAGGATGAATGAGGAATCGAAGGCGGAGGAAGAGGGGGATGATGAGGGGGAGGAGGCAGGGAGGAGGAGGAGGAGGAGGAGGAGGAGGAGGATGAACATGCGGATGATGATGGCGACGATGGTGATGATAGTAATGATGATGATAGTAATGATGATGATGATGCTGATTATGATGCTGATGATGGTGATGGTGATGATGATGGTGATGGTGCTGATGGTGATGATGGTTATTATGGTGATGATGAGGGGGGGGAGGAGGAGGAGGATGGGAGGGAGGCGGAGGTGGAGGATAAGGAGGAATTTATAGGCGATCAGAAGAGCCAGAGGCCTCTTGAATGCTTTTCAGAGTCTCCTGGGATGTCTCTTGGAAGCTGTTTGGAGGCCTCTCGGGGCGTTCTGGGCTGGCGACCCCGGGGGCGTATTTGAGCGTCTTGGGTGCCTCGGGGATCGTCTTTGGACCTCTTGGGGGTTTCTTGGGAGTCCCTTGGAGGCAAATTCGGGGCCTCTTGGGGCCTCCTGTGCGCCTCTTGGGGCCCTCTTGGGGCGCTTTCGGGTGCCTTGGGAGCGCTCTTGGGGCCATCTTGGAGGATATCGGTCCAAGAAGGGGGGGGGGTCATTAGCCTCGCCCCATCCAGAGCGCCTAAAGTCGCCTGTTGGGCTCCTCTTGGAGCGCTCTTGGGGCGCTGTCGGGCGCTCGTGGGGCTGTCTTGGGACTCTCTTGGGCCTCTACTGGGGTCTTATTGGGTTCTCTTGGAGCCATCTTGAGGCAGCAGAACGCCAGAGGGAACAAGGCGAGAAGGGAACAACCATTGAGTTTTGGCTTCTTGGCGGCCTCCGCGAGGGCTCCGAGGCCACTTGGAGCCGTCTTGGAGCGGTCTTGTGGCGTATTGGAGCATCTTGGGGGCCATATTGAGGCGTCTTGGGTTATCTTGAGCCATCTTGGACCATCTTGGAGGGCATCTTGGGCTCTCTGAGGCCCTATTGGAGCAGTTTTGGGCGGAAAAATACAATCTGACACCCGGCGAAACGCGCCGTCCAGGTCCAGCGGGGGGCGGGGGGGAGGGGGGGTAAGGGGGAGGGGTAAACACCTCCCCGAAGGAGAAGAATGGAATATGGAAGAGGAAACTCCCTGAACCACGTACGCCCTAAAAGGGCTGGCAGGATTGAAGGCCTTTCGGACGGCATGCGATGTAACCACCGCCGCCATCCATCCAGTTTATAGCGTTCAACTTAGATCCATGCCGCCCCTTCGCGCGGCGGGTTTACTGCCTCTTTTCCATTTCGATTCAAGCCAGGCTACTGCCATTGAATTAGTGCACGTCCGTCATGCGCGACCCTCTTGGTAGGCTACCCAAATCAGTGTTACACCACGGACAAAGATGCTAGGTGCTTCGGGTGGCCCCACAAGCCCGTGCGGCAACGACGCCCAGAGGATCGGAGAGGCCTCAGGGCCGGTGCCGCCGGCCCTGAACGACGACGGCGACCACGTCCACGTCGACGACGACGACGTCGACAACGATGAAGACGATGACGACGACGACGACGACGACGACGACGGTGACGACGATTGGAGCGCTCTCGGGGGCTTCTGGAGGGGGGGGGGGGCGCCGCCGCCCCATGATTAACATAACGGTTTACGCGATCACCCAAATAATCCCCCCCCCCTTCCCCTTAGACCCCCCCAAAACTCCCCTTCCCGCCCACCCCCCCGCTCCTCTTTAGACCCCCCATCCCCAGCTTCAATCCGTCGCATTATCCCCCGCATCACCCTTTATGACCCTGTTCGCCCTTTTCGTTGTTATCGCCCTTACCGCACTTACCGCTCTTCGCATAATCGCGACGTCGGTCTCGCCCATATCGCCGTTATCTATCGAAGACGCCTACGGCGAATCACCGCCGCCCCCTGCCTTTTTGGAAGCGCCTATGTGGCCGAACGTTGAGGCCAGACCTGCCAAGCTATCGGACCACGTGTTCCCCGAATCGGTTTGGAAAGCCTTCGGGGAACACGTGGGCATCTTGAAGGTCATCTTGGCCGTCTTGGAGGCCTCTTGGGCAAGCTTTGGGCGATCTTTGGGGCTTTTTGGGCCGTCTCGGGCCAGCTTCGAGCCAACTTCGGCCATCTTGGTGGGTTCCTGGCACGTCTGAAGCCGTCGGAAGCCGTTTGGGGGGCCTCTATGGGCCGACTTGGGGCCCGCTTGGAATGCTCCAGGGCCGTCTTGGAGGCCATCTTGGGCGTCTGGGAGGCCATCTTGGGCGTGTTGGAGGCCTCTTGGGCCCTCTTGGGGCCCTCTAGGGGCCATCTTGGAGGCCACTTGGGCCATCATGGGGCTCTCTTGGGGGCCTCTTGGGCGATCTTGGGGGCTTCTTGGGCCGTCTCGAGCCGTCGGAGAGCCGAAAAGGCGCAAATGCCAGAATCCTTCAAAAACCAAGGAAAAATCAATGATTTTGGCCTCTTCGGACTCTCCTGGAGGACCTCTTGGAGGCCTCTTGGGCCGTCTGGGAGGCCTCTGGGGGGCCTCTTGGGCCGTCTTGGGCCGTCTTGGACTCTCTTGGGCCGTTTTGGAGGCCGTCTTGGACCATCTCGGGCGGACTTGGAGGCCATCTTGGGCCATCTTCGCGATTTTTTGAGGATGTCCCACGAAACGGCCGTTTTTTGGAGGATTTGTTCCGGTCGTTGAGCACCTTCCGGGTGGCCGGCGGGTTCTGCCGGAGCCCATTGGGGAGTTCTTTTGGAAAAAGAACCAAAACCAAAACCTGAAACATCCAGCACGCCGTGCACCCCTGCAAGCAGGGGGCCGCGGATCTAGTGGCCTTCGGCAAATCCCGCCACCGTGCCTTGGTAGTGGGTCAGAGGCCTCCTGCATGTTTGTTGGGATCTCGTGGTTGGCCTCTTTGGGGCCTCTGGGGGGCCTCTTGGGGCTTCTTGGGCGCCTCTTGGCGGCCTCTTGGTCGCCCCTTGGGGCCTCTAGGGAGCCTCTTGGGGGCCCCTTGGGGCCTCTTGGGGGCTCCTTGGAGGCCCCTTGGGGCGTCTTTTGCCGGGCGTGGTGTCGCAAGCCCGGTGTTTGGCCTTGTTGGGGTATTTTTTGCCTTTGTTTTCGCTTCGTTTGCACTGCCCGCTCCATTTTCTCGGGGCCCAAGGGGCTAGCAGAGGGGAGGGAGAGGAGAGGAGGCGGCACGTCGCCCCCCGACCCATGGAGCACACCTATGGGGGGCGCAATTTTTGGGAGAAACAGCAGGAAATCCTCTCCAGAAAGCCCAAAGGACTCCCCCTTGGAATTGAACCACAAATCTTCAGCTTATGGGGAGAGTGTGTTCCAACTGGGCCAAGATGGCTGCATCTTTCATCTGCCGAATCGGGAATTTGCTGTTTTTCTTGGGAGCACACCCAAACCGGGCAAACCTGGCGAAACAAAATGCGCAAAGCAGCACCAGCAACCTCTCGAGCGTTCTGGGGGGAATCCGCCGGAAAGCCTCTCTCCAGACGACACACGACGACACACGACACGACACACGACACGACACACGACGACACACACGACGACACACACGACGACGACACACACGACGACGACACACACGACGACGACACACACGACGACGACACACACACGACAACGACACACACGACGACACACACGACGACGACACACACGACGACGACACACACGACGACGACACACACACACACGACGACACACACACACGACCGCACACACACGCGACCGCACACACACACACGACCGCACACACACACACACACGACCGCACACACACACGACCGCACACACACACACACGACCGCACACACACACACACACGACCGCACACACACACACGACCGCACACACACACACGACCGCACACACACACACACACACGACACACACACACACACGACACACACACACACGACACACGACACACACAACACACACACACGACCGCACACACACACACGACCGCACACACACACACACGACGCACACACACACACGACACACACACACACACACACGACCGCACACACACACACACACACACACGACCGCACACACACACACACGACCGCACACACACACACACACGACCGCACACACACACACGACCGCACACACACACACACACGACCGCACACACACACACGACCGCACACACACGACCGCACACACACACACGACCGCACACACACACACACACGACCGCACACACACACACACACGACCGCACACACACACACACACGACCGCACACACACACACACACGACCACACACACACACGACCGCACACACACACACACGACCACACACGCACACGACCACGCACACACACACACACACGACCACACACACACGACCACACACACACACGACCACACACTCACACACACACGACACACACACACACACGACACACACACGACACACACACACGACACGCGAAGCACCAACGTAAGGTGAGAACCCCGGGCCCCAAGAGGGCCCCAAGATGGCTCCAAGAGGGCTGGAGACAATAGTCAAAATTGTTAATTGTTATCCAGTAGGTTCACCGCTGCTCCAATTGTATAAACCGAGCAGGCTTCCAAAGTGATGCTGGGCAACCTGGCTGGCTGGCTGGCTGGCGTGCGAGAGCAGTGTGGCAAGCAGTTTTTTTTTCGTTCCACCCTGCCCATTTTTTCAGCCAAAGCTGTGCAAGAAGACATGGCCCGAATGGCGATCGACAGGTGACCTCACAAGCGTAGCACACGTACGCTGTGCATGTTCGGACGGTTGCTCCGCAGACGAGCCAAATTACCCGAGCCTAACAGATTTGAAGATGACACTTGTTCGATTGGGACGGGACCCGTTGGCCGATGGGGGGGGGGAGAAAGCCATGCGTGTCTTCACCGTCCCCTATGTCCTCCACCCTCAAGGACTTGTCAGCCGTGGCCTTCAGATCTGGCAGGGCCCCCTGCCGCGAAGTGTCACGTGGAAGTGCGGGCGGCGCGCCAGTCGTGCGCAGGGTCCCCTGTCACGGAGAGTCACGCTACAGTGCGGGCGTCGCGCCAGTCGTGCGCGTCCATCACGTGCAATTCATTTACATGCGGGTTTTGCGAGGGGGAAAAAACCCTCAAGGACTTTGCAGCCGTGGCCTTCAGATCTGGCAGGGCCCCCTGCCGCGAAGTGTCACGTGGAAGTGCGGGCGGCGCGCCAGTCGTGCGCAGGGTCCCCTGTCACGGAGAGTCACGCTACAGTGCGGGCGTCGCGCCAGTCGTGCGCGTCCATCACGTGCAATTCATTTACATGCGGGTTTTGCGAGGGGGAAAAAACCCTCAAGGACTTTGCAGCCGTGGCCTTCAGATCTGGCAGGGCCCCCTGCCGCGAAGAGTCACGTGGAAGTGCGGGCGGCGCGCCAGTCGTGCGCAGCGTCCCCTGTCACGGAGAGTCACGCTACAGTGCGGGCGTCGCCCCAGTCGTGCGCGTCCATCCCGTGCAATTCATTTACATGCGGGTTTCGCGAGCTCGAGCTCGCGCGGTTGGAACAACAAAAAAAACAATGGCTCCAAGAGGGCCCCAAGAAGGCCCCAAGAGGGCCCCAAAAATCCCAGAAAAATCTCAGACACCGTCTTCATCAAGTCTGAGATTTTTCTGGGATTTTGTGGGGGGCCCTTGGGGGCCTCTTAAGGCCCTCGAAGGGCTCCCGCAGGGCCCCAAGGAGGTCCGGCAGGGCCCCAAGAGGGCCCCAAGATGGCTCCAAGAGGGCCCCAAGAAGGCCCCAAGAGGGCCCCAAAAATCCCAGAAAAATCTCAGACACCGTCTTCATCAAGTCTGAGATTTTTCTAGGATTTTGGAGGGGCCCTTAAGGGCCTCGTAAGGCCCTCGAAGGGCTCCCGCAGGGCCCCAAGAAGGTCCGGCAGGGCCCCAAGAGGGCCCAAGATGGCTCCAAGAGGGCCCCAAGAAGGCCCCAAGAGGGCCCCAAAAATTCCAGAAAAATCTCAGACACCGTCTTCATCAGGTCTGAGATTTTTCTGGGATTTTGTACGGGTTTGAGACTCGCTGAGCTGAGGAGGCCTATCCAGCGTGTCCTGAGACATTCCCGCGTGATAACTCATCCGAGCGATGGTCACATTGTATGGATCATGGGTCTCATTTGGCCTGCCAGCCTCACAGGACTCATGGGCCTCATAGGGCTTATGGGGCTCTCAGGGCTCAGTGAGCCCGCGGATCTCACAGGGCTCATAGAGCTCGTAGGGCTCATCGGGCTCATAAGATTCGTAAGGCTCATGGGGTGCAGTGGTTCCATGGGGCTCGTAGGGCTTGCAGGGTGCGTGGGGCTCGTACTGCTCGTGGGGCTCATCGGGCTCAAGTGTTTACTTGGGCTGCCAGGGCTGATAAGTCTCATCGGGCTCGCAGGACTCCGATGGTTCAGAGAGCTCATGAGGCTCCTGAGGTTGACAGAGCTCATTCGGCTCATAGGGCTCAGATTGCTCATAGCGCTCGTTAGGCTCATGGGGCCCATGGAGCTCCTAAGGACTTCTAGG